TTTCGCAATTAAACGATGCCACGGGCGCACTATCGAGCTCCTCGATGCCATGCATAAATGCTACGCAACACGTCGTTTCTGTTTGCTCGAGCAGGTATATATTTCATTTGAGATGCGAGAAACGGCTCGCGAATAATCGCCTTACGTTTTTCTCTCGCAATCGCTGCTCCTTTAACGACGTGAATTGAGACTGGAAGAGCCGCGGAGGTGTCGATTGCTCGTCAATGCGTGTACTTTCCGTGTGAATTTACGCGTTTATTCGAGATACATTGCGCGAGTTTTCCCAGAGAAGATATTTCGCTCGAGATTACAAGAAATAATCCGCGGATCGCCGCGCCTGCACCGTCTTTCTCTCACGATCGCTGATGACGACGTGAATTGAAAACAAATAAGAACTGTGAAAGTGTCGATCGCTTGTTAAAATGTACGTGTAGTTTTCGTGTGGACTTATGCGATTCATTCAATCGAGATACACATACACACACATACACATACACATACACACACATACACACACATACACATACACATACATCGATATACACATCTCATACGTCGCGCGAGTGATATCGAAGTTCAAATCGCGTTGCTGCTCTGACTCGCGTAGTACCGCGCAGTACTGAAAAACGACCAGCCATGATTGTTCATTGGAACGTCGCGGGCACGTAGCCGGCAGCGGATCGAGCTCGCGCCAGCGCTCGTCACGACGATGTATCACACGGTGATTGTTACAGTGTGTACAACTCGTAGTGAACTCGATACCGTCAGGTTTGACAATCGTGTGATGTAGACTTATGTGGCACTCGTGCGTCAGCGGCTCGCCGAAAAGTGAAGTGCGTATTTCGCGAAGAAATAGCCGGTATCTGTCGGGCGCGACACGACACACGACGCGACGTCGTACTTTCGAGCGCCACGGTGCCGCGAGTGTCTAACTCGAATCTTAATTCGTACGTGTAGTTATATTCGAGTTTTTGTGTGTGATATACAGTGAAAGAATGTTCGGACGAGATCGTCTCTCCCGTGACGCCCGCGTCAATTCTTTTTCTCGGGAGACAAAACGGGTGGCGCGCGAAGTTGGCCGCGATTCTCCGAGTCTTTCCCACTTCCTGCCGTAACGTTCGTGCCACTTTGTGTAAAGGCTGGGGCTACACTATGCGCGTTTTCGCGAATCCGCGCGATTCGCGAAAACGCGCATAGTGTAGCCCCCCAGCATAATAACGTCGTCGATGTCGAGCGAATCGTGTCTCTCTTGATATGTAGTAAAGCCCGCGTTGATTAACTCCGGGAATGCGTAAAGTGTCGCGCGTTACTTTGGTAATTAGCACGCGCGATCGTAATTAGTCTCTCTTTCGCGAGTGTTGCGTCGAACGTGTACGGTTGTGCTATATAGTGAGAAATGGAGGGACCTGAGGGGTGGCGGCGCGGGCGGCCGCAGGAGGCATCGGGCTACGGCGGAGCAACCTTGTGGTGAATATTATTTAAAATTTATATATTACTCGTTAACTTCACTTTGGAATTAATTGTTAAATTTTCTTTTTTTTGTTTATTTGTAAATCGCCTGGTTGAACGATTCGTACAAGTGCACCTGAATAATTTGTATAAGTAATAAAAAGGGAAACTTTTGTTTGTCATTTTGTACGAAAGTTTACGGAAAAAATTTCTCCGTGGAAATAAAATACCTAATTTTTTATTCCTGGTACTTACCTTTGAAAGACGAACAGCATATTCGTGTAATTCATGTAAAATTATTAGGTTTTTTTTATGTTAATTGTGTGTCATTCGAGCGCTAAGTTGGATTTTGAATTTGTGTGTTGCAATAGTAATTTAAAAAAATATGAAATTGAATAACGAATAAGATGTTTGCGCGTAACAATTATTTAATCGATTCGATTATTTATGTTACAGAAAATATCCACGCGGGAAGGAGTATCTTCGCATCGAGGGAACAGTAGCTGACATCCCGAGCATGCAGCCTGAGAGGAGGTGGAGGCCTAGGAGGAGGCATCAGGCGCCGGCGGAGCAACATGCGGTAAATATAATTTATTTATACATATACATTAGAGCGTGTCATTTTGGGGCAACTTTTTTTTTCATTTTACAAATAGCATATATACTTCCAGGAAGGTAAAATAAGATACCTGTTAAATTTTTAGCTCTTAATATTAATATTAACAGGTCGTTCATCGCAATTTTTTATTTTTCATTTAGTAATATAGAAAAAATTTTATAACTATCTAACAAACAGTAATACAGCATTGCGCCACATAGATTTTCTGTAGTAAATTTACCGCTCTACAAAAAAGATCTCTTATCATTTTTTCATAAATTCAACCGTTCAAAAGATATTCAAAGTTAAAGTTTGATAAATTTTATAAAACTTGTTTTTGCTTCTTATGAATTTTATATCATATCGACTATTAAAAATTATGAAATACTCAATACATATTTTTGTAGAAAATTTAACGATCTACAAAAAAGGTCTCTTATGTTTTTTTCATAAATATAACCATTTAGACGATATTAAGGTTTATACTTTGAACTTTAAATCTATGTGGCGCAATGCTGTATTACTGTTTGTTAGATAGTTATACAATTTTTTCTATGTTACTAAATGAAAAATAAAAAATCGCGATGAGTGATCTGTTAATATTAATATTTAAAAATTTAACAGGTATCTTATTTTACCTTCCTGGAAGTATATATGCTATATTCGTGAAATAAAAAAAAAAATTGCCCCAAAATGACACGCTCTAATATACATATATTATATCTTATACGGATGGGTCATTTACTTTTCAATCGGATAGTTATTCAGAAAATAAAAGTTAGAGAAAAAGAGTTTTATTTTAGAAATTTTATAGAAGCTTATATGTTCAATGGATAAAGTATTCTTAAGAAATTACAAGATTATTTTGTTAAATTTGCTTAATAAACAATAATATAAAATTTAGTGTTTAGTAATCAGTTTTTGAAATATTGACTGTCTCTCTCTTTTGTATCCTGCTTTAATTCGGATTTTATATTTGTTTGTTACAGAATCATCGTAGCGACGTTGCAGAATAACTCCGCTGTTGCGCATCAGTCGGTGAGTAATGATTAAAATTTTATGATTATTAGGGTAATGAATTTGTGACAATTACGTCAAATATATTGCAGAGACGCTATGTCAAGTTATTACAATAAATTATTACGTATATTACGTTTCATAGATTCGTTGCCTTAAAATGGAGTGACTGGGTCAGATTAGGATTTCACATTTAATCCTGGATAAATCACATAAATTGATTTATCGTACATTTTGTTATTGTAAATTCCATCCCAATATCTTTCAGGATTAAGTGTTATATAAATTGGTGCAAGAATGCAATATATACGCTTAGAAATGCTTTTAACCTGCACATATCACGATTGAAGATAAAAAGTACCTTGCATTATTTTAATCGTTTATTGTTATGTATAATACAATCTATTTAATATATTTTTTCCGTAATCTATTTAACAAAATTGTGTGTGTACGATCATTATTTAAAATTATTTTTTTTTATAACGCACCAATTTTAGCCTAAGCTTTCACAGTCTATTTATATGTATTGATAACTGGTTTTTATACTAGTTAAAGCGATATGACGTGAGATCTAATAAATAATGTTTCGCGAAACAGAAAATTTGCTGCAATAATTTATTTAAATTTGATTACTTAATTTTGCGTTAATATACATACTTGATTTTTAGTAGTATAATTATCGTAATAAGATGTAGCTATCAAATTTCAAATTGTTTGCTCGAGTGCATAAAGTATTCACATTAGCTCAATTGTGCAGGAACTTGATTATCTCTTTCGGATCTCATGTCATTAATTCTTTAAGTATTTCTCACCCTTTTGAGGTGAGACTCGATATGCGAAACGATATCGAAAAAAATGGGCCTTAGATTTTTCAGTTTGCGTTAATCAATATTGTTATTTATTTACATTTTACATTTTTATTTAAGTCCTGTAGGGTTATATTAGATTTAAATTAAAGTTCCTATTATTCATAAAATGTAGTCGAATTTATTCGGATTATATACGCGATTGATTAAAAGGTTTTTTCTAAATTAACAGCTCCTAACTAATTATAAAATCTTTTTTGTTCTTAATCGAGAAAATGATCACTTGCGTAAATTATAGTATATACGATAATAAGTAGATTTTGAACGCTAATAATTTTATAATTACTTAATTTAATTTTGTTACAAATGGCCCTTCGTGACGCGGTCGTGTTTCGCGCATCTTGGGAAAAAGCGTAAAATCATTACGCTCATCTGCCGTCTATGATCAGGCGGCAACAGAAGGCGTATTCCTTCTTATTGTCTCTGGCTTTGCCAGAATGGATTTGGCCATGAAATGATATGGTCAAACTGGTCAAAGAAGAGAAGATCTACACAAGGTAGGTTGGTGCTGAACACCACCAATTTAGTGTATAATGTATAATGTGCATAAAGGTAGGGTAATATTTTTTGCACATGTGTATGCGCAATCGGAGACGGGAAAGTGACGTCTCCAGCTTAATTGTAAACTTAAAATCTTTCAAACTCTCTTTTAAAATCTGAACTTCCTTAATTTCGGGTAATCGCGGTCGCGACTAATTAATATTGCTAAAATAAACTAATAATAATAAAACTAAATAAACTAATAAATTTGGGTAGGCAGGAATAACGCGTTAGGTAAATAGAAATATGAGGAATACGAAATATTTAGGTAGGAATATGAATATAATAGAAGTATGGATAGGCGGGGAATATATATACGTACATACATATAGAGTACATATTACTTCGGGGAGGTAGGAACACGAAGGGATTGTAACTCGTACTGTTAATTATATAGGATAATGTAATAAATTAAATTTTAATAACTTTCAAATATGTTATAGCTAAGTAATATTATATATTATTTAATTGTTATATTATCACTTATATTATGTAATAAATCTTAAATTTATTTTATGCCATTTTATTTATTTTTCTAATTACAAAGTTTGATTAAAAATATAATTCTTTGCATTAAAATATTGTATAAAGAAAATATAACTTCGCTCTTCTTAGCTTTAAAAAGGATAAATTACAAAATAAAAGAGCACGGAATCTAGAATACTATATTTCCTTCTATTTTGCGTGATAGAAAGCTATAGAATAATCTTCATTATCATGATTTTCCGTTAAATTTAATTTTTCAGTAATAGTTTAAAAGATACGCTATTAAAGCAATGAGAGTTGTAAAAACAATGTTCAGTGACTCTAGCCTTGTAGAACTGTCTGGTTTTGGTTCTATTTCAGGGTTTATGCTCAATATCCATTTTTGAATTTTGTGACCGTTATTTTTGTACCAGAACAAGTTGGTTTCCACAGTAGTGACAGCGGAAAGTAATTTCGTTCTCATGGATGGAGGATACACAGTTATATCATGTACAACGAAGTCCACCAACTAGAAGAAAGAATAATACATCATTGCCATTTAATATATATTACTTGATGATATTATCTGATTTATAAATGTCGCACTTTTTATGCGAAATACACTTTTTAAATAATAATAGTACATAACTAGTATATATGCTAGATAATAGTGTATAAAATACTTGTAATAAAATACTTAAAAGTTATGATACTGACAGGCAGTTCAGTTAATATACAATATGCAAAAGTAAATCTTTGATTTCTCTCTTTAGGAATTAAAGCTCTTTTGCTCTTTTACTTTCAATTTTTTGAAAAAAAATTCTGAATAATCCTACCGTTTTGTATTGATCCTCGCTTGATATCTGCGATGCCACATTAACGAACAAATCTGCTACTTCGTCCCATCTTCCGAAACTGTAACGAAAACGTACAAACGTAAGAGTTTTGTTGGTACAATTACAGTAAATAGTACTGTAATGACACTCACTATTGGTACAACGCTGTGGTATATGTTGTTAAAAAGTTGAGGGTAACGTTTACTCCTATTGGACCTGCGTTGTACACGGATGCAAATACCGCTGAAACATCTTGTCGTCGAATGGCAGCGCTGGCAGGATCGTATTTTTCAATGGCTTTTTCTAAATAACTATTTAAACAAATTGCTTGTGAATTCATCGAGTGATTATAAAGTCGGGGATCAAAAGAGATTATTATTATGACCATTATAATTTTAATTCCATGATATGAATACGGAAAAGTAGATTAATTTCATCATTATAAATACACTTACTGATAAAAGTTAAAAATTTAAGTTAATTACATAGCTAATTTTTTAGTCAATTATTTTATCAAGCGAGTTAAAACCCTTCTCTAAATTTACGTTTTTAAATTATATATATATATATATATATATATATATATATATATATATATATCAATTATATGTTAAACAAACGAACTGGAAGGGTAACACTTTACAGTTTTCTTTGTTTAAAATAGTTTACATTATATATATTATATTATCAGGTTGGAAACTTACTTTTGGAGCACCGTCTCATTTGTCGAGCATCCGAGCGCATTTATAATGATCTTCTTCTCTGTTGCAAAGTTCGTCAGTAGATACTGACTCCACAGGAATTCCCAATCATCTGTCTGTCCTTCTTTTATTGCGGTACAATAAATTGCTGGTCGTGCATTAGTTGGAATTCTATGAATAAGAAAAGTTTGTTAGATAAAAATAAGAAATTCCGTAATGAAATAAACTCCAAATTTGGTCATTAAGATGCACCGACGAATTTGGTTCTCGGATCTCTTAATCAGCACATAATTATTTAAGTTCTAATAAATATAAGTTCATAATTCTAATTCTCTATAGAATCTTTTTTAAACCCCGTTTTACAATTTTCCAAGATAATTTTAAGTTGTAACATTTTCATTCTCAGCATGCGTTTAATTTTAAGTTGTATATTTTATAACGTTTTTAATTTAAAATAGAAACTCCTGATTCTTGTATAGACTGAGATAATCGACACGGACAAATATATCAGATATTTAAGATTAAAACAATTAGTATCAATTTAATAATTTTATCGAAACTTGTGTGTGTTGGAATCTTACCGTACGGAATTATCCTTACGCCACTGCATAAATAGTTTTTTAGCTGTGTTGACACAATCCGTTTTATTTAACTGGCAGGCCCATTGAAGAATTATTTCCCGATTTAATTTGTCTAAATACGTATCATCATTGCGGTCAGAGAATCCTAATCTGTTATACATATTAGATAATAATTTCAAAACGTATTCATTTAGCTCCTTCTGGGAACTCTGCTGTTCAAATCTTCTGTAAATGAATGATAGGCCATTGAAGAATGCTTTCCAGGGCAAATGATGTGTCTCTTGTGCCAAATATTTCGATGCGTCCATCAATAATTCGTATTCCACGTAATTAGCGCGAGCTAAGTTAAAGAGATCGTCTATAATTTGAGCACGATTCAAGACATGGATAGCTTCGAATCCTTTATTATTTAGCTTCGCAATTAATATTTTCCATGAAGAAGTGTCATAATTAACACGGTAGAAGCCAGTTTGTTTGTAATTCACGATGAACCAATCATTAATAGGATTAATATATACTCTCAGAGGGTTTGGTCCTAGCCACAATCCTTTGTGCTTTAAAGTAGTATCAATATATTCACTAAGCATGTCGGATGGAACGACTATATCAATTGGTATCCAATAAAACTCATTGCCAGTGGTATTTCTATTTACTAGGAACCGTTCCTGCAACAAAACACGTTAAAGTGATTTATAGAATTTTAGAAATATACGTGTAAGAAAAGGCCGGAAGAACGATATAATAAAAATATATAATACTACCTGAGTAAGCGTTAATATGGAATTAGATAATTTAGCATTGACGACGGGATATCCCGGTTGATTCGTCCAAGTGTTCATGACTTCCTCGACGCTTGCGTTTCTATTGCCAATTGGTATCGATATAAACGACTCGAAGCTTTCCCATAAATCTGTAGGACGTGCCGTACGATACTTTTGTTTTGTTAAATAATCACGGAGTGCTAATATATGAGCTTCTTGGTCGAATGCGTTGAATATCATTCGTAAGACACTAGCAGCTGAAATACATATAAATATTTTAATATTAAATATAAAGTGTTTAGCAGAATATTGAGAGAGAAAACTTCAAATATCAATACAGAAGAATATATATAGAAGCACTTAACTTAGTAATCAAATACTTTGTACTTGTAAAATAAAACATCGTTATAGTATAAATTGCTTTTGGGATAAAAAATTTATAATAGTAAATTTTATAATAATAACAATTTTGTGTTTCGCATAATTTTATATTTTTTATTTATAGAATCTTATATTATTATAGCAGCGAATAAAACTTATAAGAAATTGTGAAGAATATTTGCAATAAGAATTCTCTCGATATTATGTGTTAGGGATTTTGATTATTATGATATAATATGTTACGTATCTTGTTACGTATCTTGATTTATTGTGTTATAATATGATATTATACATACATTTCCCGTAAGTGATACCGTCAAAGGCACCAGCTATTTCTTCCGGTGTTCTAACGGGATTTGTCATTGGATGTGTTGAAATCGAAGCGTCTATTGACAGAGCAGGATGCAGCTCGTAAACCACGAATTGATCCATGAATTTGTATTCTGGGAGTATCTAAGAAGGTAATGCAAATGAAAATTATTGTATTTGTTATTTACAATAATATTTGTATTCTCTAACGTATTATTTGAAAAATTTTGCTTTATAGCAAACTATAGTTCTTTTAGAAATTTAAGCAAATTTTAAAAGTAAGAGAATTAAACGCGTTAGTTGATTTCTCGATTTTTTAAAGAAAAATAAATTGTTGCATTTTGAAGAACAAAGATCCATTTAGTGGTAGAGGTGAAAAATGTATAGCTTCTCTTTTATACAAATATCATTCATTACACACCCGATCAGATGTAAACCATTCGAAATATTGTGCAAAACCTTCGTTGAGCCAAATATAATCCCACCAGTCGCAAGTAACGAGATTTCCGAACCACATGTGAGTAAGTTCATGCGCTATTGTGGTGATTATGTATCTTTCATATGTGGATGTAGCTTCTTTGTTATTATAGAAAACTCCGTATTCGCTGTTAAAGACATCGCATTATTTATACAATATGAGAAATTTATTATATAAAATGTAGATAGATAACACACATATACGTACAGTACCGGTGAATAATATTGCATCACTTATGGAAAGGGAAGTCGTTACTTTAATGAAGAAAGACGTACATAAATGTCATAAAATTTTATAACGTTTATCTATCTTAATGATTTAATTGCGTCGTTTTATATAAGTCTCTCAATGATATTTAAATCAACAACTAAATCATTAAAATCTTTGTTTCTCAAAATATTTCTATTAAAGCATAAAATAATAGTATACTAAAATTAAATTTTATAGCACTTATGTACGTCTTTCTTCATTAAAGTAATGATTTTTTTTTCTATAAGCGATGTAAGATTTTTGACTGGTATTGATTTATATAATCGTTAAGGAAAAATAGCAATGTTACCGGAAAGTAACAAGACCCCAGTTCTCCATCGCGCCCATGGAGAAATCTGGAATTCCCACCAAGTCCAGCTTAGGTAAAGGATAGTCGATGTCCGTAATATTCTGTAACTCATCAAGAAGCTTCACGCCAATATTTTGAGCATATTCTCCATGTGCCACGACCTCCGGTCTACCCCATACGTTGAAAGTTGCGTTTTCAGGATTGTCCACAGATTTAAATTCGGAGACAACAAACGCTACCAGATACGTCGACATATCAACGCTGGTAGTGTGGAATGTGTCCAACATATAGTTATCGTTCCTAAGTAACAGATAATTGTAATAACATAAAGCTGCTGACTTTTATGTATTCAGTAAACAAATTTCGTGTTAAATTTAATACATTTTACACGTCCCAATTTATCCACTTTAATTTTTATGTTAATTTAGCAGAAGGCAAATACGTAAATAAATAACATAAGTAATATGTAAAAGATTGTAACACATGGACGCTATCTAGAAACAAAGTTTATGTTAAATTCACACATTTATAATGTTAAAATTTAATTAAAATAAAATGTTATTACATTAATGTTATTCTTTCTTCTCTTTTTCTTGCAAACAAACAGATAACAGCAATACATCTTTCTATAATGTATAACATAGAAAATGTCGATTTAACAGATGGAAACTCTTATAGAGAGAAAAGTAACACAACTTATAGGTGTTTATTTTAATATATAAAATACGTTACCAAGAATTCGTGCATTTATGTATAGACTGTGTTATTTTAACTCTTAGAAACGTTGAATATTAACTTGATGCAGAAAAGTCAAAATAAACACAATATGTTAATTAATAAAAACAAATGACAATATGTTACATTAACACCAGTGTTAAAAATTTAATACAAAAAATTTTGCACAGATAGAAATCCACTCCTCGTCAAAGACAAAATGTTTTTTGTCGTGTACTTTTTACACTCGATAACTATATGTATATACGAGGCATATAATATATATATATATATATCCAAGTTTGTTAAATATATTTTCATTCATACTTACTTTTTAGTTTCTGATTTAAGTTCCATATTACTCCGCGAGTTGTAATGATTTAGCCTCTGAATGTTAATTGTGAATTTCGATTTAAATGCTGGTTCATCGAAACAGGGGAAAGCCTGTCTAGCATACGTAGGCTCGAATTGTGTTGTAGCCAGCCAACTGTAAAATAAATGAACGAATTAAATATTAAAATCTGATCTAATTAATTTAATGGGATACTTTTATTTTTGCGCATTAACATTTATATTAAGTCGTAGTTAATAACAGTTTAATTAGAAAGCTGAAAAGTGAGATTACGAAACTAACTTTTATTTTCTTTGGATAAATTATATCAAGGTATTATGTTAAAATTATTTATAATTTGTACTCACTGTTGCACTCCGTTCCTGTCAAAATACGAACTGCGATAGAATCCATTCATATCGTCATTTAGAATCCCGTTAAAATGAATTTCCGCTATTATTTCCTCGTTCGTATGTACGTAGTTGGCTAAATATATCCTTAGTTGCTGCGGAATATGTTCTGTAGAATTCAGCATTTTTATTTCCGTGCCATTTCGGAAGATCGTGATACTTGAGATATTGAGTTTGTGAGAATTGAGAGCTATCAACGTAGTATCTTCCCGAACTGTTATATGTATTTTCACCACTCCTTCAAAGACGCCTTCTTCCATGTCGGGTGTGAGATATATGTCGTATAGTTTTGGAGCAAGCGTCTTCGGCAAGCGGTACGTGTTGCTTGGAAATAGATTGTCCAATGTTTCAAAAATTACTGGCACTTTTTTCTCGTACCAATCGAACTCGTATTTTGCCGTTGCCAAATAGGAATCGACGGATTTTTTGAATTCCGGTTCTTTGTTAGTCAGCCACTTGAGTAATTTTTGATACTGCGAGTCAAAAGTAATTTTATTGAACAGATATTGATTGATTAGTTGACAAGAGTTTTAAACGAGTATATAATTGAAATTTATTAAAGATTTGCTTTATAAAATATCTGATAAAATACGGTAATAGCAGCAGAAAAATTGTGTGATTCCTAAATTGTTTTTAATTTAATATTTAATCAAATATGTACCGCATGCATATGTGAAAAAATTATTTAATTATATTGTTCTTTATAAAAATCTTTTAGAATTTACTGGAGATGTTTCTTTTGCAATTTTGATTGTAAATTAAAATTAGTTAAAATGTATAACTTGAAGTTGATTAAATTACCTGATCGTAAAGATTATAAGTAGATAATCTGCTTGCCAAAGCGTTCACTATGTTTGCAATTTTTGTATGATCATTGAAACTGTAATTGAAAATGGCATGTTACATTGTATTATTTTATGATTTGTATTATTGCGCATAATTATTTACTCACTGTCGGTGCAGTATATCATCGTAATTCGTTTCAATCACTTTCATGACAACTTCAACACCAGTTAAACTTGCATCGTAAACGTTCGAGAATACTTTTGCACTATCTTGATACCGAATATTTGAATTCTCTGTGACCGCATCCCGCAGTAACCTTGATTTAATATAAAAAACAAATAAATTTGTTATTATTAATACAATTAGCCTAGCACTGCAAATCTTCTTCAAAACTACTCAATAAATTGTCTGTTTCTCATGAAGTCATTGAACGTAAATATGTGAACGTAAATATTAGAAAATTTGCAAAATAAATTGCATCTTTGTACAATTTTCTACACAACATATGTTTGTTATTGTATATTTTATAAAATAATTATAGTAAATGTAATTCACCGATGCCAATCAATTTATACTTTCGATGACAGCTCGATACAAACAATGAAAAGGATATTGCAATACTTACGTTTCTAAAACATCCTTGTTTTCAGAACAAGCCAAAGAACTAAGAATTACAAGTTTATCTGTGGTCACTTTGCTGTTTAAGTACTCTTCCCATAAAAAGTTGTAAGTTTTATTCGTCTTGTCCATTCTCATGGCTGTGCAGTAAACGACATCGCGGTAATTTGGCGGTATTCTGTAAGAGAATTAATAATTAAAATCTAATTGATACAATATTATATATTATATAAATCTCATGCATTTTATTTATGTTTTTGTTTTTCTCTATACTTTTTACACAAATACACATGAGGCTTGCGTACTGTATAATCAATACATGCTAAAATATTGATTATATTAACAATATATATTAATTATATTAATCATTATTAATAAAAATTAATAATAAAATTACATATTAGTTCTACATGCTTTATGACAAGCAAAGAAATAAATGTATTTTAATTTGGTTTTGGACTTACGTTTTTGAATGTTGCTTCAATTGGAAATATTTTGCAGCATAGAATTTACAATCTGCTACATCTAATTTACAAGCCCATTTGCGAGTATGTATTCTTAACATCTTAGTTAAATCGTCGTCTTTGTTGTTATCCTCAAATCCTAACCGTGCGTAAAGTTTTTCTATTAACGATGTTAACCATTTCTGAAAAAAATTATACATTTTTTTCTGTAAAATTACTTGCAAATTTTTTTTTATACAAATAAACTTAAAGAAAACTAAATGGCGCCCAAAAAGTTTAAAGTAGAATTTGCAGTTTAAAATAGAATTTGATTTATCAAGTAGAAAGAAAAAGAAGTTTGAGAGTTATATTAATAAATATAAACAAGAAAAGTTTATTACTTTCGACTAAATAAATATAAAATTTTGAAATAATTAAACTCTTTTAACATAATTTTTCTTTATATAGAACATAAAAGAAATTATAACAATTTCGGTAATTTATGTATTAGTAATAAATTAAAAAAGTATAATGAGAAAATTTAATTTTTAATTTATATAGAATATATTCATTATAATACACGTATTTTTATAATTTTAACGTACGTACTTTATATATGCCTTCAATATCGCGTCCGGCAAAACGGTTGTCCAAGTAAGGCAGATTATTGAAGAACGCGCGCCAAGGGAAATAATTATTTTCTCTTTCCAAATACGTTATAGCAGATATAACAGTTTTGTAATCGATGTAGTTTGCTCTTGCAAGATTCATAAGATCATCAATTAATGCCGCGCGATTGGTTTCGTGAATTGGTCGAATATCCTTATTTTTAAGATAATCAATTATTTTCATCCAATGATCCTTATTATAATTTACACGATAATAACCTGGAATAAAAATAGTGAATATCATCAAATAACGCAGATGCGTTTATTAAAATTTGTTAAATATTGTTTATTTATTATAATTTTATTATATTTATCATTCTTTCTAGTTCGTGCCAATTTTTAATTTGCTTCGCTTAATTACCTGATTGCTGCGTGTTGAATATTAAAAGTGAATTGGATGGGTTTCTTATTGGGTGATTTATTGTTTTACTCGTCAACCAGAATTTCGGCCTGGTATCAAAGTAGTCTGCACTATTCTGAATTTGTGCCCATTGGATCGGGATGTGCCATATAGTCTTGTCAGAATTATTCTCCTCTTCTTTAAAGAAGAAACGGTTTTGTTCTAGAAGTATAGCATTTTTTGTAACATTGACTTTAACGACAGGATAACCGGATTGAGTTGTCCATGTGTCTAAGATGGCTTTGATATTGTCTTTTATCCCTTTCTCATTTACTTGTAGTTGAAGTGATGCATACAAATCTTCTGGCGTGGCAACGTTGTATTGCCTAAGAAATTAAACAAGAAGTGATTTCTTTTTCTTGACAAACATGTCCGTTTAGACATAAGATAAAATTTAAAGTCATTATGTATCTTAAGAATTAGAACTATATTTCCTCGTATTTTTAAATAAATGTCACAAATAATTTTTATTCTTTCACTTGCACTTACTTAATTAAAATTAATTCTTTTGATAAAATAAACTAATAAAAGAAATATCGCTGTAGTCTCTAAGATAAACATTATCTTTACATACCGTTTATTAAGATAGTCAATTAATGCGTTGTTGAATACTACAGTTCCATATGTTTTTTCGACCATTCTCAATATGGTACCACCTTTATCGTAAGTGATTGTATCGAATATGCTTCGAATTTCACGAACAGTTGTTACATCGTGACTCATGGGATGTGTAGATTTGGAACTATCTGCTCTGAAAGCAGAATGTACTTCGTTCACCACGAATTGTGATTCCAACGTCTTGTCGTTAAATGCCTAAAATGCGAATAATAAATTTATTATTAAACTAGCGCTCTTATTTCAATATTTATTTCTTTATATATATATTAATTCATTATTATATTTCATTATTTATTTCTTTATATATATTAATCTGCATATATACAGTAGAAAAATATGTGTAATTTTCATGTTTGTGACCTAAAAAGATTTTAGACTCTCTTCTTAAAAACTTGTCGCCAGATTAATGGTGATGTATGAAAGATTTAAATTTCGCGAGTTTGTCAATCGGCATTACATCGATGGAGTGTTTCAGTTACGTACACGAGCGGGAGCGTGATATTCGAAGTATCTGGCAAATCCCTCGTTTAGCCACAGATACTTCCACCACAGAGGGCTGACCAAATTTCCGAACCACTGATGAGAGATTTCATGAGCAATCACGTTTCTGATGTCCTGCTTGTTTGTGACCGGCGAGTGATTCTCGTCATACAACATATACGGTTCCTTGTATGTTAAAAGGCCCCAGTTCTCCATCGCGCCCGCTCCGAAATCGGGTAGAGCAGCCATAAAGAGCTTATTGAGCTGATATTTCTGTTTGTACGTGGTCTCGAAGAAGTTCAACAACGGAGACATTACGGATAAAGCGTAATCGGTTTGATTAATGGCGTTGGGACGTGCGTATACAGCCAATTCAGTTTCCTTCACTTTTACAGATTTAGACTCAAAATCGGAAACGACAAGTGCCACTAGATACGTCGACATCAGTACTGAGTCAAAGAAAATGTACAAATGACGATCACCACTGCAACAATTTGTTAAGGTGTGATTTTAATCTTTGCGATTCGATGAGATTTATAAAAATCATGTAATTTTACTCTCACAATGGCAAATGGTACACTCTATTGTAAACACTGTAATATTTGTTTAAGAGTCATGTTTACGCTATTTAAAATATAATATCTTTGAAGCATATTTTTGTATCAAGAAATACTAACAAGGGAACGGTTGGAAGTGTCCCTACCTGATTTGGATGCGCTTTGGATATGTTGTTGAGCATCAAAAAATATTAGACACGTATTTTTTTTTAGCGGCGTATCTCGACAAAAATAATAGGTGGGTGTGGGGTTAAATTAAAAAATTTGACATCTGAAAAATGTGATTACGCTATTGTAAAGAGCACAAAAGACCATAAACCTTTTGTATAAAACTCTTTTTCATACGCCTTATATTTTCGAAGATATTAGCTAAAAATTATAAAGTCCGTTATTTTCGAGGAATTGTTTCAACCCTTAAACGTCGAGATACGCCGCAAAAAAAATACGTGTCTAATATTTTTTGATGCTCAACAACATATCCAAAGCGCATCCAAATCGGGTAGGGACACTTCCAACCGTTCCCTTGTAAGTATATCAGATTAAATTATCAAATTTGATTCTTTTTGTTGGAGAGACAAGAAGGGACAATAATATTATAATACCAAAGTAAAATATTTGCAATTGATTAAAAAGTTGTGAAAAAGAGAGTATTCAATTAAATTCTCCTTAAGAAATATATTCGAATCTATACATACCCTCTTATTATCTCCCGCCAGATCGTATTACTGATGGCTTCGTAATCTAACGGCACGCTAACTTGAACGGTGAAGATTGCTTTCATCGCTGGTTCATCAAAGCAAGGGAACATTCTTCTGGCGCCAACGGGTTCTAAGTGCGAGGCTGCGAGCCATCTAATACGTCAAGCAATTCACATTTAATTATCTTTAATGCAAGAATTTGAGCTATAGAAAAAATATTTTTTTATACTTTTTATATGTTATATCTCTTTCTACTTTTTACTTTTTTGATATAAAAGTGGCGATTGAAAATTTAAGATAAAATTATTGTTGATTGTTGAAACATTATTATTACATAAATGCAATGATAGTAAATGCATTAGTTTCTAAAAGTTTTTTTCGGCATTTTTATGAAAGCACAAGTTCCTTAAAACATAAAGGATTCGAAAGTATTTACTGCTAATTTACATGACGCAAATTTTAAGTGAAAGCAATAATGTTTAACATTACCTCGTTTCTCCCTTCTCATTCACGTAAGAACTTTTGTAAAAGCCACGATGCTCCGGCGGATTCAAATTACTCGTGTATTTGATATCGATGGTCAATTTCGTTCCAGCGGTTACTTCTTGTTCCAGATAAATCACGCAGAAGTCATAACGGTCTATTAACTTCTTCTTAAGAACCTTCACTTCTTTCTGATTGGCCTTCACGCTTATATCTTGATATGTAATTTCCGACGAGTGCAAAGTGATCTGAGTTGTCGGTTGCTTAACGTCAGCTTCGATCGTCACCTTTCCGTCGACGGTAAAATTCCCAGTCTCGAGATAAGGCGTGACGGAAATGATATATCTTTTGGGACTTATATTCGTGGGTAGGCGATGCGCGATGTTGTCACGTACTTGTAGCCACCGAATTATAGATGGCGAATAGCTCCTATACCATTGCAATTCGTACTTTGCGATTCTTAAAGAGGACTCCAGAGACTTTTGGATTGACGCGAAGTCCGCCTTATGGTTGTTTATGAGTTTTTCAAATTTGTTTACTAATTCGATGGTAGAGAGACGCTGCGATGCTCCATCGAGGATTGTGGCTATTGTACCCTGTCCTCCGTAACTGAAAGAGAAAATAGCATACTTGTAAATCAAAGAAATAATTTTTTTATATGCACCCGTTGATATTATTTATTTAAGTAGTTAATTAAATTAAAATTTTGTATAGTCCAAAAGAATTTAAAGAAATATATTTTATGCAATTATGCGTAATTTGTATTAATATACATTAGTTCAATGTTAATATTTTGCATTAATTTATAAATGTGTCTCGAATAATAATTAATTGCATCATCTACTTTTCTTTGTAAATTAATATTGATACATCGCACGATTACTATATGTTATAATGGTGACTTACTATGCTTCCATTTCTTTGTGATGTTTTTCAACAAAGTCAAGAACATATTCGGCGCCAAGCAGGCCAGAGTTATAAACGGCGGCGAAGACAGTCGTGCTGTCCTGTTTACGAATTCGACTTTTTTCATAACTGGTAATGGCATATTTTAGATATCTGCACAAAAATAATAATAATTAATTTTTAAACATTATGTACTACACAATACAATATCTGCATGATAATTATGTCGTACCGCTATTTTCCTTTATCCAAATTATAGCTACAATTACACAATCCAAACTTACTGGTGTTAAAAAATTTAAATTCTTTTATAAATACATTATTAATGTAAATATTTTGTCTTTAATTTTATACATCAAATTAGAAAACGTTTAAACTACTTCTAAATGGCTTATTATCTACAATAAGTGTTGTGTCTTTATTTTGCTATCTTGTAACAACAGTACTTTTTATACAAATATTATAAGTATTCATATACATATATATTGAACATTGTTTTCATATCAGTATATCAAACCTTACTTTTCTAGGATTGCTTTATTCTGACTGCATCCCAAAGCGTTTAGAATCACTGTCTGGTCGGCCGCATGATTAGAATTAAAATATTCCTTCCACAAAAATTCCCAGTCATCAGAAGTTCCATGTCTTATGGCTACGCAGTACGCTGTGGTTCTTTCATTTGGCTTGATACTGTTGAATATTAAACAATCTGACATTAGCTAGACTATAATAAATTATTTTTTAAGAATTATAATCAATTTTTTTAATTACACGTAAAAGTTGGGATATTTTAACTTTTTATAAGATAAATAAAAGCAAAAAGTTTATATGTATATCATAAAGAAACTAGAGGGTAAGTACTTGAATTTTACTGTGTATGTCACATAATATGTACACTGTAGAGATTTCAATAGAACTGAGAGAATGCTTGCATATTCTTACCGGGAATTAGCTTTTTTTGCTTTCCACTGTTTAAATTTATCTGTGTAAATCCTTACACATTCGTTATCGTCGAAATTACAGAGCCAATTATTCACCTCTCGTCGTAACAGAACCGTTAACCTGTCATCTTTTTCACGATCTTCATATCCTATCTTAACGTTTATATTGTCGATAAGAGACAAAACATACATCTAGAAATATAAAACGAATAGGGTTATAAAATTATATACATATAATAGATTTGTTATTTTCTTATGACTTGAATTTATATAAATATCTTGGAATTCTAACTGTTTAAGTATGTGTATTTAAATAATTTTATAAAAAGAAAATATTAATTGTAAATTAATTTAAAACATTTATATGATAGACAATGTGGATAGTGATAGTGATAGTCTAGTGACATAAGATCATGTCTGGTTTTTAAATTATGTATAAATTTGTGTTGTATACTTAATTAACGAAAACAAAATAACGAAACCTTAAGTAAGGAATGTTCCAGATTATATCCAGTAAATCGCTTCTTTAGATATTCCAAACCATTGAATGCTGCTTTAAAGGGCAGGTAATTTGTTTCTCTTTGAAGATAAAGTAATCCATCCAAAATCATATCGTAATTTTGATACCCTGCTCTACCCAAATTTAACAGATCGTCTACAATGGCGGCTCTATTTAGTACATGAATTTCATTCAGATTTTTGGTTTTTAAGATATTGATAATTTTCTGCCATCCGCGTTTGTCATAATTTACACGATAAAAGCCTGTAATAAAAATATCAAAATTATTATTTTATCAGTTTTTATATAAAATATATTTATATATAAATTATCTAGAATTTATGATATTAATTCTAAAAGTTTTTGTTTAATGTTTTTATCAACATATACGCAAAATTATCGTTTTGTTAAAAAAAAAAAAATATATATATACATATATATATATATATATATAATATATAATATATAGTATATATATATATATTTTAATATAATTTATCCTATCAATAAATAACAATTTAATCATTAAAACGTACGATAATTGTCTAATAACGCGTATTAGACATATTATTATAATACATAGTTTTGTAAATTTTTCTTGTGTGACTAAAAACACTGTTCGGTACCAACCCGATGATTGAACGTTGAATATGACCCAATCTTCCGGGTTAACTTTGAGATTTGCGGTGCTTTTTTTGGTAGTCAGCCAATACTTTGGAATCGTGTTAGTGAAATCTGATTTGCTTTGTGTAGCAAACGTGAGCGGGACAGACCAAGTGATATCCGTAGTGGTATTATACAAGTTTCTCAGAAGAAAACGTTCTTGAGTAATATTAAATATTCCGTTGTCATTAATGGCGATTGATATAACGGGATATCCGGCTTTTGTAGTCCAAGTATCCATTTCTTTTTTTACATCAATCTTTTGCCATGGATTCGTTAATTTATCTGTTTGACTCTTTATCGCTATCCATAAAGCATCCGGATTACCTAATCCTTTTTCTTTGCTAGAAAATATATTATGTTTGTAACATAAGCTCTCGATTGTGTATCGAGAGAAAGATATGATTTCATATAAAAAGATCGGTAATTTAAAATGTCTTTAATTTATACAATATTTATAATCAAACAGTAATAAATAAGTTTCTTGCATTATCAAATAATGTTAGGATGTCAATTTAATATGAAAATAATATTAAAAATTTAATATTATTAATTAAAATAATACTAGTTTCTTTTACTAATATTACATTAGTTGCTTTTATGAGTTATCTAATGTATTATTCTCAAAGATTATTATATAGATATCTTAAAATCGAGCATTTTTGAGCAATTAATTAATTGTATTTAAAATACAAATAATTACAGTCTGCTGTAATATTTACTTGTTTTGTATGTAGCTGCGTAATGCGTCTTCGAAAACATCATTTCCGAACACAAGGTTCATCATACGGACAATACTGGCTCCTTTGTTGTAGGTAATAGTATCTGCTATTCCCGCGACATGCGATTTACTAGAAACCTCCCGAGTCATTGGAAGAGAAGACTCAAGACCGTCTGCGATTAATGCAGATTGATGTTGCTCCACCACGAATTGATCTTCCATATTCCATTTTGGTTCGAGCTATGCGAAATAAAAATTATTTATTAGCATAAAGAAAGCAAGATTTATTAATGCAATTTTTGCGAAGATGTAAAAAGCGTTGAAAAAATGTGCCAAAAATAAGATTCTTTTACATTTTTTATTAAGAATTGATATTGCTGTGGACATCAACAAGATCATTCGTTTATTTTTCAGAATATCAATTTATGATTAAGTAAATCGTGTAAAATTAAAATTGTAAGAAAAATGACTCAAATTTATTATCTAAGTTTAAATTTTCTTTTGAAAATTATATTTTCGTTATATTTTACGTGTGAAGGTTGCCTAAAAGTCCTGAATATTGCTCTTACTTCCGCGGTACCGAAGTACTGATAGTATCTGGCGAACGCTTCGCTGAGCCAAAGGTAGCTCCACCATTCTGGTGTCACCAAATTGCCGAACCACATGTGCGTGAGCTCGTGAGCGATCACGGAAGCCACGCTCTGCTGCGCTGTCGCCGACGATTCTTTCTTGTCGTACAGCATTCGACTCTCGCGATACGTCACCAATCCCCAATTTTCCATGGCCCCGGCTGCAAAGTCAGGTACGGCCACCATGTCCGTTTTTTCCAGGGTATAACTTTCGTTAAATTTCTTCTGATATAGTTCGAGTGCTTTTTTGCCGATTGTCAAAGCGTATTCAGCCTGATTAATAGTGGACGGTTTGGACCATACTTTAAATGAATCACTTCCAAGAGAACTGAATTCCGAAATGACAAAGGCCACTAAGTATGTGGACATTGGGATGCTTTCCTTGAAGATATCCCAGATCTTGGCTCCCGGTTTCCTTAAAGGCAAATGTATCATGAATGCATTAACCCCTTCTCTTAATGACGAAAATATCCACAAAAAAAACTGGCCAGGACATAATGAAAAAAATCGCTCATTCAAGAAAAGATACTTTTAACTGAGTAATTAGAACCTATTTTAAGTTTTTGGGATAGCTGACTGCAAATCTGAAATCAAAATTGCGAAATTTTGGCGGATTCAACTTGGTGGACCAAAAATCCAAAAAATTGTTTGATTTGCATAAAAATTTATATTCAAAAGTTTTTAAAACCGCTAATTTTAAATTCAAAATAAAAATTTAAGAATTCAACATAATGAGCAAAAAATACAAAATATAGTTTAATTGCATAAAAAGTTTGAAGAAATTTTTGAAGCCGCTGGTTCCGGTTTTAAAATTGAAATTTGTTAATTTTAAATGACAAATTTAATATGACGGCCAAAAAATTTATAAAAATTAATTTATAAAAATTTTTATAAATTTTTCCGCCATTTTGATCTCAGTTTTAGAGATTCAGCGAATCAATAAACCCCCAGAAAGCACTTTTTAAATAATTTTATTAACTCTTGTGTCAAAAGCATTTTTGACCCATAAGCATTTTTTTCACCTAACAGCCAAGTTAAAAAGCTCATTCTGGAGAGTAGTACATTGATAGTTACACGGTTTTTTGACACTTACAGTCTTTCAGATTTTTCCAATTTCATATTACTGAGGCACTTATACTTGTCGTCTCTTGCTATACGGATCGTGAATTTTGCTTTAAAACTCGGCTCGTCGAAGCATGGGAAGGCATGTCTCGCGTGTGTTGTTTGAAACTGTGTTGCAGCTAGCCATCTATGGTTTTAAGCAAAAAAATTCGTATTAGGAACCATCATGATATTTTACTCGTGATCATAATATTCATATAGTATTTTTTATTTCTTTTGTCATGAAAAATTTGCATATCGACGTATCACTTACTTAATCTGTCCGTTTTTGTCGAAGTAAGAACTTCTATAAAATCCAATCATGTTATCAGATAAGACTCCATTATACCCCATGCTAATTGTTAGCCTTTTACCCTTTTCGACGATGTTGGGGAGATTGATAGTATATTTTTCAGTAACATTGTCATACACAGTCGCAGGATTAGGCAAGTATGTCTGAACATTCGCTGATTCGATTTTGAGGTTTCCCACATGTAGTATAACTTTGTCAGTTCGATTTTCTACCACAGCTTCAATTTTTACGTAGCCGGTAAATGTAAAATTATCTAAATTCGGAATCAGCTTGATATCGTACGAAATGGGTTTAATGTTTGTTGGTAATCTGTAGTAGATGGATTCGTCATTTTGTGACAAATCTTCATTTTGCGCAAGTGTACCTAAAGAATATGTTACGTATAAGTTATCTCAAAAAGTTGTATATACAAAACAATTGATTTAAAAAATATGTCGCAAAACTGACAAAATTGGTTATACAATATGTGTGTTCCAGGATTTATCATTTATCCGCCAAACTGTGAGAGCACATTCTACAAGTGGAAACAAAAAAATGTTATATGTTTGGCTACAAATGCTTTATTACAAAGTTATAAACAAATATTGAAACGGAATAAGAAATAGGTAACAATCGTTCTCTGGCATTTGAGATTGCCAGATTTAACACTTCTTGATTTTTACTTACGCGGAACGTAAAAAAAAGGAATAAGGTTTACAGTACAAAAGTGTCTTTACATGAAGATTTAATGCAACGAATTAATAATTCAATTACTGAAATACAACAAAATTCTCAAGGTATCTACTGTAATAAGTTTTGCATGACATCGATGTCAAGCTTCTATTGTCAGGCAAAGAAATGCCATTTTAAAATGCGTTACTAAATCGTTTTATTCATATTTTGCACAATGGAAAATCCGTTATTACCTACATTTTATGTTTCGTTTCAATATTTGTTTATAACTTTCTAATAAAGCATTTCTAATAAAACTTCATATAACATTTTTTTTCTTAATTTTACTTGTAAAATATATGCTTCAGTAGTTTGGCTAAGTATTTGGATAAACCTCGGGACACCCTGTATAATTTCACATAAAGTAATCAGGAATCTAATCGCACCAATTTAAAGATGCATACATCATATGTACAAAGATATGAAATTTTCTACTAGTGTGGCATTTAATTTAATTTTGTAACAATATAAACCTTTATGCCCATAACTTTTATAAAATTAAGAATGTTTATTTTATCAGATATATATTGAAGAAAACGCGCGTTATTCGTAAATATATAATTTTATACATTTTAGAACATTTTATATATTTCAATTTTTTTTCATAAATACTTTTTAGATAAATTGTTATAAAATATACATATATCAAATATAAAATATAAATAGAATTACCATCATAAAACGGAGATTTATCTGCTACGTTTCCACTGAGTAATGTGATTAGGGTGCAAAGCAACAAATGTTCCCGTAAGATCATCATTAAAAAGGTAAATAATCTTCTTGATCTCTTTAAACTGTATAAATATAGAGTCATATGAGTATATGTAAATTACTTTTTTTATTTAGTTAACAATCGACTAAGTACACAGTATTAATATCCATGTCGTATCATGTTTATTTAGACGCATTAATTTGTCTTAATTATTTACCGCAGAAGAAAAAATTTAATAAAAAGAGTATAATAAAAAATTAAAAAAAAATTAAAAAAAAAAAGTATTTTACGTCTATATAGGTATCTGTATTTTAGAGGTAAAAAATCATATCTCCAGTTTTTGTTAAAATAATCTAACCTAACCGTAAATTAAGATACAGAGAATAAATTACTCGTTCCTCCAGATCTGCTACGATTAGAGATAGCGGAGATCCCATAGATGATCCGTATGTTGAGAGATTTTGTTGTTAAACAAAAAATAAGTTGAGGACATAATGAATTTTACGGCAGAAATGAATTCATCGCGTGGTATCTTGGTGTTAGGTTTAATAAATTCCCACCTTTTAATTATGTTCTCGATAGCAAGATCCAAAGGAACGTTCGTAAATAATAAAATGACATCAAGCGACACCAGCGCATCTGATTGTGAATCGTTGAGTTTTATTTTTGAGAGATCGTTGCACAAGTGAAAACTTGTTGACGTAACTTGCAGGTTTTGGAAAACTATTGGTGAGGATTTTTTGTAGGGAAGCTGCTAGAGAATGAACGACAGTATTAACTGAGGATACAATAATTCTAAGAGGGATATCTTTTTTGTGGATTTTGGGAAGGCCGTATAGGCTTTCGGGAGAGTCGCGCCACTGGAATGCAATCTGAAATATTCATTTTTTGACCACGTGTGTTTGACTCTAACAAGGCATTTTTGACTATAACTTTATAACTTTAGGTATATATATTTTTGCGTGATTTATTTCTTTTAATGTAATTTTATCGATTAGAACGTTCCGATAAAGACCAGGTAGGTCGAAACGTAAATAATTGTCTTTATATACATATTTATTTTTATTAAATTTCAATTCTATAAACTAATATTTAAAAATTCTTTTTGCTCGAATATTGGCCGGGTAACCTTTCTTTAATAAATCAAGTTGTTACATTTATTTTATATCTAAAAAGATATAGTATTTTTTTATTTAAAACTTTAAACCTTGTTTTCTCTCAATTCATAATAATAGAGATACCATCCTTTACCTCTAATTGTAAAAGGTATATACAGACATTGAATCGAGTAGAAAATGTTGCTTATAAGATTCAACGCTTTTAATATTTCTTATATAAACTTGTACGTCATTAACACGATGCTTTTTTGAAAATTGAAGAATATTTAGAAATTAGCACTTACCTTCACTAAAGGTTTTTTTTTCGCTATGACTAATATTGTCGTTTTCTCATGGCTGCTTTATAATTTACTTCACAATGTAATAAATGTCCGTATCTCTATCTGGTACAGTAGAAGTTTATTATATTCACAAATACCGCGTATAAGAATAATTATTTCACTTTTCTTAATATTTCAATTTCACGTTTAGACTAAAAGCTTGTTACAGAAAGAGAGTTGGTCACACGTCTATCGCGGGCAATCAATGTATCCGATTTTCACAGTACGTATCTAAATGAACATGTCGCGCGAACAATTCTCGATCGAATGAGAGATTGTTAAATGCGTTTTGCTCTTCGTTACCTTGTTGAGATTACCTATAACATATTATCGATATCTTATCACAGATTGGTCAATGACGATGGTATAATTTTTTTTTCATATAAAACCATGTTATCACATGTATCTTTGCTTGCACAAAAGCTAGCGTCACGCGCTAGTGCGAATCAATAATTACAGATACGGAGGAAAAAAAGTTACTTGAGAGAAGTTATCGATTAGAGCTTAAGACATTTATTACTAATTGGATCACTACAACTGTTTGCGACAGACTATTAACCAATTAATCTACAGCGATAATCTAGATTAATGATAAAGTTTCCACGTAATACACATAATTTATTTTATCAAATTACACTTAATACCATATAAAACCATTTATAACAGGTTATAAAAAAACAAAGTTTTGAAATAATTGATAGTGGATTATGACGTGCAAGCCGGGAAAACCGTTCGATTGCATGAAACAAATTATGTGATTGTATTAAAGTGTTGCAATTGTTTTGTTGATAATTGCAAAACTCTAATGTAATATTTTTAACAATCACATTTGAACAAACACGCGAATCAAGTTTTACATTATGTTCTATGATTAAAATCTGCGCTTATTGATCATTGTCTTTGAGATGATAAAAAAGTCTGACAAATAACACATCTTTTTATAGAATAGAGTATATTATAAAGGAATGTCAACACATTCGCAATATTTGATAGTGGAATATAGCACATTTAGAATAATCTAATTCTTTTAAGTGTATTTAAAGCAATCTTTCTTTCGTGTTTAAAATATATATAACTCAGAAGTCCAACCAATGTGTTATTATAATTATCAAGTAAATAAATTGCGATTATCAGTATACGATAAGTATACAGGATGTAAAAATACGTACAAAAATTAAAGAAGATGTTGAAAATGGCATCTTTGCATGAATAATATATTGTTCGGTTTGTTCAGTTCGGTACCAACGTGCACAAGATGTGCAGAAATACGTAATACGCCTGGTATTGTTGAACATGTTAGGACGAACATGAGGAGACGAACATCTTCTTTAATTTTTGTATTTTGACAACTTAAAACATATTTTGTCCATTAATAAGCCGAATTTAAGCTCAAAAGTTGTAATGCCCATAACTCGGTAAGAGATCATTTACAGACCTATGTTGATTATAGGAATTTCTTTCATTATTTTGATATACTATTCACCCTTAAAGTAACGGACAACCTTTTTGTTGCACTCTATATAAATAGCGCGAATAAATTGCTCCATCTATAGTCTTTATACAATTTTTTCTTACAAGTTTGTTATATGTTAACGTGACTTTTTGTGATTCTTATATTTAAAAATCGTTTTTAAACATAAGTATTTAAACACAAGTATTTAAAAAGATAACGATTATAGATGTTTATTTCGCGACCTTTAAACAAAACAATCTTGGATATCAATTATCTGATATTCTTGAATATTAATCAAATTGCATTTTTTTTCAGCTATAATACATTACGCTTTAGGCAAAGAAAGTTTTAGCAAAGAAAGTATTAAACTTTATATGTGTATTTGATTTTATGAAAAGTTAGAGAATTAATTAATAATTGTCGCAATTGCGCTGATTATTTAATATCTATACTTTGATATCTAAATAATAACTGACAAATAATAACATCTGAAAGAGTTGCGTAAATTATATCTTTTCCAATGTCAAATAGATGGAATATACCATATTTCTCGATAAAACATAATTTATAACAAATATACATAAAAAATATATTTTAACAAAAAAATAGGGTAAATATATATTAACATTAATAAATTATGGAAATTAAAAAAAGAGATAAAATATTTTACATTTATTTATTACGTGTCTAATAACAATATGCAAGCAAGTATTATCTATAAGAAATTATAATAAACCTTCAGAATTATGATAAATGTTATAAATATATTTATATTATACATCCTTATGTTATGAATGTGCTATTTATATATCGTAAAACATTTATGCACATTTATATAATAACCTAAAATTTTATGATTCTGCTTGCAACATATAATGCGACATTTTATTTCAAATTCTTTTTATTTAGAATTTTATAATAAAACTCTACAGACGTCATAATCTGTGTAAATCAATGTTATATCTTATCTGCTCAACGATATTGTGAAATGCCAAATTATCGAATTCTATGTCCATTGTTATAGATACGAATAGATATATATGTATATAAACAATTTAAAAAAATGTCAATATAAAACGCAGTTATGTAATAATTTAATGAAATTATTTGATGAAAATATATTATATCTATAATTTTATTTTATTATTTGAATTAATATAAAAATGATGAACTGATATATAAAAATCGAATTAATATAAAAATAATGTATATTTTAAAATTCTAGTATTTAAAATTATTTAAATCCTAAAAATAATGTTGGACAAATTATGAATTATTAAGAACGTTTCAATAATATTTTAATGTGTAACATACAACTAACGTTACATACGTTAAAATAATTTTATTCACTTTTTATAATATATATTTATAATTTGTATATTTATGTTATTAAACATGAATTATATCTGATTACAATATTATTGTCTTATATGTCTCATAGGTCGGTGGACTGTCTGTTTTCCAAAATGCTATGAACTTTTGATAAATTATCTTTCATTTTGACTAGCATTTCTTCTCTAGCCTGTAAATGCTTTTGTATATCGATCATATGTTGTTCGGCAAATGCTTTTATCTGTAACAAAAAATAATATTTTATAATTGCAGATAACGACCATAAAGAAACAAACTATGTACATATATGTGAATGTTAAATAATAATATTATCTAACCTTGTTAATTTGACCTTCCCTGAAACTTTTCATGATTATATCCTCAAGAAGAAATGAAATATTGATAAACTGACTGTAAAATACATTACAAAATAGTTTTATTATTATTAAATATGATTGCATTAATATATATCTTAGGAGATAAATATTGGTGTAATTTTCATGAGTAGAAAGTATTTATATATTTAAATTATTCTATTTTATATTAATATAATTATAATGTAATGATTCTATTACTCACAATATACAATTTAAATAATCTTAAGTAACACAACATAATTGTACTTACTGTTCAATAAATTTCTCGTAATTATTAATGAAAAATTCAATTGTTGTATCTACATTTGGCAAATTAGCGATTATGTTATAGAAGATTCTATGATAGTCCATATCACCAGAAAGAGAATTTAAATGCTTTTCGATGATGTGCAAATTCTCCGAACAACCAAGAAACGTATGAGATTCTGATGTTTTCTGTTGATGTTCTACTTGTAAAAACTGATCCCAGACAGACTCATTTGCCTTCATCAGGCCAAAGCAAAACATGGACTTCTGATTGGGTAATGGTCTAATATTGAAATTAGAACAATAAAAAATTATTTGGTTAAAAATTTATACATTAAGAAATATTGCTATTTTATATTATTGTTTTTTAATAGAATATAATGCAGCTATAAAAAAATTATTATTATTTTTATTATTATTTTATTAAATGCTTTTAATTTGCTTAGCAGATTAAATTATAATTTATGTAATCCCTTTGCTTAATAAAATAGTTATATTCTAGTCGAAATTGAACAGTATTAATAACTATATGTATATGTTAATTTATAAACAACGTTATTATGCAAAATATACGTTAAATTGATAGAATTAATATTAGATATCACTGAAAATCGAACAAAAATTTATAGACAAAAGTTTGTTGGATTAAACATCTAAAAGTAATGATTCAGAATCTGATAGTATTTTATGAATAAATTGTTTCTTTTTTACTGGTTGCATGAAAATTGGCATTGCCATCTATCGTACATCTATCGAACATCTGATAATCTGATAATTTCAAATAAAACAATTTTTCTCAAACGCATGTATCTTATTTTAATATAACTTACCGGTTTGCGATTGGGTTTTCCACATATGCAAGTAATTTAGCAGTAATTTTTGCTGGACATTTAACAGGTTCAAATGTACATACATAATGATACAGATTGGTTCTAATTTTTGCAGTTAAAAGATCATCATCAGGATTCTCTTCAAAATCAATATTCTCCAATAGTTTATGCATCAAGTTGGATAAATGTGGCTAAAAGAAATATTTTATAGCAATTAAGCAACTTACAAATTAAAGATGTGTTTTGAAAATTCTTTTCTTTATCTTGCTTTTTTTTTAATGTTACAATTAACAATTTTTTAAATGGTAGAATTAACAACAACAGATTTCATTGAATCAAAGAGTATAAAAATCCTAATTTTTCTTTATTAAGTTTATTAAATCAAATTATTTATTTTCAGTAATATTGTGATCGATTGTTATAGGTGTTTTACCTTGATGATCGTTGCTGCTTCGGGTAATCGTAAGTAGTGATCTAATTTCTGAATAATGTTGAATGCTGTGTACCATGGTGCGGCATCGGTTTCGCGCGACAAATATTTTATAATTTCAATGAAAGTAGCGAGATCAAGCCGTTCGTTCATCATCATGTAATAAGCATCGTTGAAAATTTGTACACGGTTCAGAACTGGGATCTTGTCGTAGTTGTCAGAATTAAGAAAGGCAGCGATTCGTTTCCAATTGTTTATATCGTAATTTACACGATAAAATCCTTTTTAAGAATAAAAACATAAATAATTGATTAATCAAATAATCTATTTAATATTTTGAAACTAATCTATAATGTATTTACTCAACAATCTTTTTTAATAATAATTAAAAAAACGATGCATGTAGTTTAAAATAACAAAAAGATTAACAAATATATTATGATGTGTTTACCTGTTAGATGTTTATTTACAATAATCCAGTCGTTAGTGTCTATTCCTTCGATTTTCACATCCACATCGTGTGGCTTTAGCCAATGGGTGGCCAATGTAGACGAAAAATCCAAGTTACTTTGCGTTGCAAAGTTTAAAGGTATCCACCATGCTTCGTTCTCGTTATTATCGATTGTCTGGTGTTTAATTATTTCTTGGCTTATTTTAATTTCGCCTGTAGCATAATCTCGATTGACCGTAACGAGAGGATACCTTGCCTGGTCGAACCAAGTATCCATTACTTCTTTCACTTTAAAATCGTCATGCGGTACATCTGACTCATCGAGGGCGTCTTGCAATGCTTCCCATAAATCATCTGGGGTAGCGCTGCTATATTCACTGGAAAGCAATAACATGATTTGCGTGTATTTCAAAATTGTTGATACTTTTAACATCTAATTTGTTATAGATTAATTTTTTTACATAAAAGAAAAGATTATAATAAAATAATAAATGTCTCAAAATTTTTTGGTTTTACTAACTGTTTTTGAAGATATCGTATCAAACCGTTTCGAAACACATCTTCTCTCAAAAAATGCGATGCCATTCGTAATAAAAAAGCAGCTGAAAGGTGAAAAGCGAAATATATATTAAAATATAAATTATATACATATTTTTTAGAAAAGCAAATTAATACACAGTATAAAGTAAAGTTATATTTATATTAATTTATATTTTTAGTCTAATTTATTGTTATATAATTTTATTCTAAGTATTTAACAATTAAATAGATTACTTGACTTAAACAAATTTTTATGTTACACATGTATTTTTTATAGTTTTAATAGAAATATATAGATCTCTTTACTTTATTCTATTGCATTTAAGTTATACAATAAGATCTCCTGTTAGCCAAAATATTATTGTAACAATTTTATAACTATTTTTATACTTAAGTAGTATAATAGACAATGTCTAAAAATTTCTTGCCTTTTACATACGTGTTGATAGAATACACATCACGAACATTAAGATGACTAGTAATGTTTATGTGAATCGGTTCAGAAGAAAATAAAGCTATATTTAGCAAAGATTCTTCTTCAGTCACTACAATAAAATCCATCAATCGCTTTTCTCTGAGAAACTGAGAAAACCAATATTATGAAAAAATGAATATATGTATGTTCCAATTATATTATACAATTTGCTGGTACCTTGTCAGTAATATAGTATTTCAGATAAGTTGATATGCCTTCGCTTAACCAAAGATACTTCCACCAAATTGGGCTAACTAAATTTCCGAACCATTGATGCGCTAATTCGTGAGTGATTGTCATAACATCACCTATTTTATTGCTAATCGGATATGAGTTCTTGTTTTCAAGTATGCCCTGTCTTCAAATTTTCACGTACAAATAGATAATATATATTAAAAAAGAAATTCCATAAAATGTAGTTGTTATACTATTATAATGTAAGCCAATAAATAATTGTCAAGAATATTTTGTGATATATTATGCAGATATTATATTTCTTTATCTTTTCCTTCTTTTAATTAAACATTTTTTGATTATTGGATCATAATTAAAGTATTTATTTTGATAATCGTAAAAGTCCAATATAGATAAAGAGATTGAGAGAGAGAGAGAGAGAGAGAGAGAGAGTTGCGTGTGTGTTTTTATAAAATACTAGCTGGTTACCCGGGCTTCGCCCCGGAGGACATGTGTAATAATACACGCAAATAATCTCGCTCAATAGTCTCTCTCTCTCTCTCTCTCTCTCTCTCTCTCTCTCTCTCTCCCCCTCTCCCTCTCCCTCTCCCTCTCCGAGATTCGGTCAATTATTTCGCGTAAGAATTAAAAAAATTAGAAAAACCGGTTTCCAGAAAATCGGTAACGAAAAACTATACACTCTATAGCACTCCCCGGAAAATTTTACCCCTATTTTATATGGTTCTAATACAAATTCGGTCCAATAGTTTTTAAGTTAAAAACGTTCAAACATACACCACACTTGTAAGAATTAAAAATTTTTTTAAATGGGTTTCCAGAAAATAGATAACGAAAAACTATACACTCTATAGCACTCGCCGGAAAATTCTACCCCTATTTTATATGGTTCTAATATAAATTCGGTCCAATAGTTTTTAAGTTAATAACGTTTTTTTTTTATTTTTCTAATTTTTAGGTGTAGTGTATGTTTGAACGTTTTTAACTTAAAAACTTATAGTTTTCAAGTTATTAACGTTCAAACATACACCACCCGTAAGGATTTTATATAATAGTATAGATAATCAATAATATTATATTTATAAAAATTAATACAATTATAAAAATTAATTTTTTGTGCGCTAATTTTGATTTAAACGACTTAATTAATCTATAGCTAAATTACTGTGTGTAATATGGAATTAAGAAATCTCCCCCACTCGCACTGTGCACTCTGACTATATAATTACATAAACGTTTATTTTTATAATTAAGAATTCGGAATTATTTTCCTTAATGAAAAATATATTTGTACTCACTTATAGACGATTACGCCCCAGTTCTCAGTGGCTCTACTTGAATAATGTGGAATGCTAACATGATCCATTTTCGGCACACGAACAGTGCTATTGGTGAATTCTTCTAGCTTCTGTGTTGCCTTCTCGATAATATCGAGAGAATGTGCGACATAAGGAAGAAGGTGTTTTGGGGCCCATATTTTAATGGTGCCATCCAAATTCGAGATGTAATCATAATCAGCGATCACAAATCCTAATAAGTTGGTAGACATGATAGGAGTTGCCTCGAAGTGTGTCCATAATTTTCCGTCGACCGCATCGATTTCCGATCGCGTGGACGGCATATTCGATAACGCTGTGTAATTAGGATAGTGCTTTATGGAAAATTTGAAGGTCGCTTTTATGGCAGGTTCGTCCCAACACGGAAACGCTTGTCGCGCAGAGGTTGGTTGAAAATGTGTTGTTGCTAGCCATCTGTAAATTTATTATATATCGTTCGCTTCAATTTACGAACATAAGATCTCTGTGTTGATGTATAAATTATTATGCTATTATATTGCGAGAAAGCGATAGGACTTGTGGTAATTGACTAATTAGAGACAGGCGAAATAATTAAATATTTATAAATTATTAATCATTTAAATCACTTTTTAGAACAATTACTTACACCTCGGTTCCATTGTCGTCGGTATAAAAACTTCTGTAAAATCCACGTGGCTCCGTGTGCGGGAGTATCACGCCTGTGAAATTAATATGCAGCGTGTAAGCTCCAACATCTAGCGACTCCTCAAATCGTAGAGTCAAAATTTGTGTTTGTCCATTATATTCATGCTGCTTTGGGGCATACTCCGATTTAGAATTCTCGTCGTCTACGCCTTTGCGAGTTATCTTCGTCAGCGATTCGTCTATTGTGAGTTTTACGGTGTGGAGTGCGATAGCGTTCGTCGGTTCGCGCACTTCGATATCGATGCTCGTTTCGCCATTAGTGGTGAAATTACCATCTACAATATGAGGTATTAATTTTACATTGTAATGAATAGGTACGACGTACTTTGGTAGACGAAATTGATTCTCCTCGGAATTTTCCACTGGTTTATTATCCGCTGCTTCGTTATCTTGAAGAGGAACGCCTTGACTGACGACAAATAATAAGATTACTGTCAACAGACTTTTGACGATCGCCATAACGTAATTACAAATGCAACGATTCTGAGCGTTTATTTCTAAAAGACTGATAAAACGATCATCTGCTCGCATATAACATTTGGAACGTTGCGACATTTACATACCGCATATATGCTTAGTTATGAGAAAATATCTTTAAAAGATATTATCGCTTGACTGTGTTGCTACAGTTCCTGCATAGGTCATCAACTGTGCTATTTTTTGCCTTTTAGAATAGCATCTTTCAAGTGGCTAGTAAGAGAAAGATATATCTAAAGATGAAAGTAAATAAAGTAACTCTCATTGAAAAAATATAACAGAGGTTAAATTATAATAATTATTTGAAATAATTAATAATGCAGAGAATATAATAATTAAAAATATAATAATAATAATAATAATAATTTGACAGCAATCTTATAAAAAAGTTATTTTTTAAGCAACATGTCTTCGCCTTAAAAATCATCTAATTAATCTAATTAAATCGTTTTTCTGTACTATATAAAGAAAATATTATTAAAAAATAATATATTATTTAGATATTATTTATCGTGCGTGTCCATAAATTTTAAATATTACTAATTTTTTTTAATTAGTGGGAGTATTATTTCAAAAATATATTACACAAGTTGTGTCAAATATTTTATTGTTATAATTTATGTTCTCTAAAATAAAATAACGCAAATTTTGAGTAAAGCGATTTTGAGTAAAGTTTTCAGTTAACAAAAAAATGTTTTCTTAAAATATGTTAAATTATTCATTAATATCTTTACAGAGTAACGTCATCTAAACGATAATTATGTTAACGTTTGAACAGACTGTTATGAATATCGATTTGCATTTACACGACGTACATTTTTGTACACCTACTTTTGTTTTTAAGGTGATGCTGGGAATCGTCTACTGTTTCACCGACAAAATGTAATTTTTGCGTGCAGTGTAATTTTTTACTGATTCTATAAAATTATAAATTTTTTTCTGAAGAAAAAAAATTATAAAAGTATATAATTTTTAATAAAGATTTTTTTTTTTACGTAAAGTTGACTCATCCTTTCTCCGTTTACATGATTTATACTTTAATCCTGAAAAAAGATTTATAATTTTAAAATCAATAAAAAATGGCACGTATGCGAAAATTAGGTTCTGCCGGTAACTCCAGTAACGCCTTAAAGCTTAAAGAATTGATTTTCATCAGAAATGCCTGCTTCTCATAGTCGGTATTCTTCTTTTATCTGTTATCTATGTACTTGTTTATATAACGTGTTTAACGTCGCGAATGACCACCAGTAATTTTTTTTTGCTGACTATCGATGTAAGGTAAACACTTGCGATAATCTCTGTTAACCTCTATAATATAAGTGTAAATGTGGAGTTGCATTCAGCACAATATAATACTTCTTACTATATATTACGATACTATATATATTACGATAAAGAGATATCTTAACCGATAATGACAAGGGAATATAATAAAAAAATATATAAAACTTAATTACTTACAATTAGTTGTGACTTTTCCAGCAAAGTGATTAAGTGTTTGTTAGAAAATACATAAATCTAAAATAAGATAATAGTTTAATAAAAATAAATGCAGATTTTTATTATTATAATATATATTTATAAATATATATTAACTTCATTTCTTGATACTTTGAACACATATAAGATTTAACTACTTGCACTAGAAAATTAAATTAATGAAATATTGATACATTTCTGCAAGAGTTGTACCTACTTACTTGTTTCATAAAAATAAATAAAAGATGCGTATACTCTTACAGAAATTTAACAGTGTTTTTAACAGTATTTTTAACAGTGCTTTTTACACTCAAAATAAGTATATTTAATTATTAATCAAATAATCACTTACAGTATTAAATTTCTGTAAGAGTATGCGATTATTATTTCTATATAATTATATGTATGTATACTTTTCTTATGTGTTAATTGCATGTATATTATCTGTTCATAATATTTTTACATCAATAATGCACATAATATTTTACATAACATATAATTAATACTAGCTGTTTTTAATGATTGACCGATTTGTTTGAATAATTTAGATGCATGTAGGTATTTAAATATTTGCATCTAATTATTTTGCTTATTCTACACAAATTTTATTTACATAATATTATTAGTATACTGTTAACTTCAGCTACATAGCCAAGAAGTGGACTTGGTTTACAAATAACCTTAATCATGCATCCTTCCATTCATACACTACTATCCTAACTTACAAGTAACTATTGCACATATTGATACACATTGACCTTTACCTTCTATGTTTTAATCCAACCTTCTTTTTCGTTCTTCTTTCTCTAACGCTGACCGTTCTCTATATAATCTCACCAATATCTTCTCCTTGATGATGCCCATTTCATCATTCCAAAGCCTCTCTAATCTTTCTTTATTATTCTTACCTAATTCTATAAACCGATTTTTTATCGCTTTGCATTCTGATACATAATGATTCATAATATTATTAGTAAAAATTACAACAATTTCTGTTGACTCGATTCTTCATATTATGGTGAAATCTTCATACTGTAAATTGGTGGAAGTTATCGATAAAGAGATATTGAATTCATTGTAATGTAGTATTCGTAAGTGGGTTTGAACTTTTATGTTCTAACCACAAACGAATTTTGTTTACTATTGTCTCCATCAGTTCCATATGTTGCTCTTTGAATTTTAATAGGCCTTGTGGTTCTTTTATTCCAAGCTTATCTACAAGTGCTCGTAACTGAAAAAAATATTTTAAGTATATTATTTTAGCATATAAAACATATATTATTCTAAATGTACAATTCCATGCAATAAAAAAATGTATTATATTATTTTTTAAATATATAAATTTCTTTAAAATAGAAATTTGTTTATACAGAGTGACCCAATTTACAGAAGGCGCAATACGAATCTCGGACCCAAAACCTAATAAGAGAGTCTATTGGTCCCCTTTGAACACTCCAACTTTTATTTTTAAAATGCAGAAATCTTTTTCTTTAAAATGTATTGATCAAGAAATATTTGAAGTGGGCATTTAAAATAGATCACCATGTATATAACATTATGTATTGTTTATATTTCTTTGCTTGTCTGCAAAATCTATACCTTTTGGACTTGCTTTCTGGATACAACACTCCAACTAAGATCGTATAACAAATTTTCAGGATCGTCAACTCTGTAATAAAAAATTCAGTGCGTTAGCCACATAAATCTGTGAAAAATATGCGCATTTATCGCGAGTGCGAAATCAAATGTAAAATTACTACCTAGTTATAAGTTTATCCCAATGATTTGCAATAAAATCTATCACCATATCAATATTTGGAAAATCTCCTCTTAATATCGAGTCTATAATACGATGAATATCACTCTTCATGATTGGTGATGACTCTTCTGATATGGTCATATTTAGAAATTTCTCAATAATAGTCCGGTTTTTAGAGCATCCAAGGGAGTATAATGTGGGTCCAGCCATGTTCGTGTTGTACATATACAGCAGTTTATTCCAAATAGTTTCATTCGCTTGCTTTATGCCATTACAGAATGTCAAACTTTTCTCTGGGAACGAAGTTCTAAAGCAGAATTTTTAAGAATATTGTATACAAAAGGAGTGCTTTCAATATCATTTACTTTTAGTAGATAAATATTTAGTCTTTCTTTTTATAAATGTAAAATATTTTATATTTACCTATTTGTGAACACAGTTGGATTTTTTAAATAAACAGTTAATTGTTTATAGGTTTCATGTAGACACGTAGGATGATCGACAGCGCATGCACCTTCAAATATAACTTCTCTTTTCAACTTTGTGAAATAATCTTCATTCGGGTGAAACTGCATTACAGTTTCTACTACATTATTCATCAAGTCCAAGATGTACGGCTATAATTGTATAAATTTAATTAATTTTGTAATATATTTGTAGTATAAATTGCAATATATATAGAGCGTTTGAAAATTTAAAATGGCTGTAAAACAATGAAAAAATGATTTTTTAAAATCTTCTGTGTAATGTCGTCTGAAACATTTTTTTCTGTAATTTTTACACAAAGATTTTATGATATGTAAATTATAATTTACCTTAAGCAATTCACCTCCTCCATTGTAAGCAAATATTTTGGCTAAATCTCCCAAAAATTCAAACAACGAATACCACACTATGTAATCCGTTTCACGTCTCAAATATTTTGTGACTTCCATGAAAATTCTGGGATCTAATTTGTCCGTGAACATAAGGTAATTCGCGTCGTTAATTAATTTTGCGCGATTCAGTACATGAATTTTTGTGTAATTCTCAGAATCCAGATAATCGGCAATTTTCAACCAATTTGTTGTGTCATAATTTACACGATAGAAACCTGCAATTATTAATATAATTTTAGTTTAAATATAATGTTATCAAATATTGTTTAAATCAATATCTAGTGTGCTTAAATTCATTATTTCTGCAAACGTACTTATAAAAATGATAACAGATGGCTTATAAAGATTTATATAAAGACATATACTATACATCTATATAAAATCTTACCAGTTTGTTGAATGTTCACAATGATCCAATCTTGCGGGTCGATACCATCGATCACGAGCTCCTCAGCTTCTGGTGACAACCAGTGCGTAGCTAAAGTTGACGAGAAATCCGGATTGTTGCGAGTTGCAAAATTTATTGGAACCCACCACCTTTTTGCACTGTCTGCATTATTGGTATTTTGACGTGTACTCATATTTTCAAAATATTTTGGTTGAAAGTATTCCTGTGTGATCTTCGTCTTTCCAGTATGTTGATCTCTGGTTACTGTTATAAGAGGGTTTCCTTTTTGTCCTATCCAGGTGTTCATCACGTCCTGGATATTGAATTTGTTCTGTACTGCTGATTCTTTAAATGCATCTTGCAAAGCGTCCCATAAGTCTTCAGGCTTGGCTACGCCATACTTGCTAATAATTTATTTTATATATATAAATGTTGAGTTTAAAGAAAATTCAACATCTATAGCGTTATTTTTAGCGTTATTTATTATAATTTTTATGAAATTTTATGAGACTCAATTAGTACATAAGAAGCCATAATACATATACATAGCATTTTAATGTACAACGCATTTTGCATTATACATTATAAGTTATAATATAATATATTATATATAATAAATGTTACAAATTTTTATAACACTTATTACAATATATTAGAAGATTGTTAGTTTTGTTATGGCTTCCATTAATACTAAAATAATAGTAATTTAATATAAAATGATTAAAAGTATATTTACTCTGTAAATATAATGTAAATATATAATAATTTATTTTTATAAAAACATGTGTAACATTTTACTAACTGCTTATTAAGATATTTGACGAGTCCGGCATGGAATACCTCATCGGAGAGGCAATGTGAAAGCATTCGTAAAAGCTGAGAAGCTGAAATAATAATCATATTTCTTAAAGATCTGCGACCTTTTTGCAAGCTCTGATTTTGAGTAAGTAAGTCTTTGTTCGTTAATTAAAGAAATATTGTTACCTTTGAGACTGTTATATATTTTGAATTTTGAATTAATTTCTTCAATAGTATTGGGCTCTAAATTAAGTGGTTGTGCGTATTCAAAATTGTCCATAAGAAGTATTGAATTCAGTGTTGTCGAACGTAAGTGGTCCATAACTCGCCAATTTTTATATATCTAAATATAAGTAGTTTATTTAATGCTTTAAATATTTATGTATATTTAAGTGTATTATGTGATAGATGTGTATACTAATTGTAAGAGCTTTCCAGCAAGCGACACAAGTCGACACACAAGCGCCTCGTTTTATCTTTGTTACTTATTGCCAAAAAAAAAGATAGAACAATGTCTGTGTCGACTTGTGTTGCTTGCTGGAAAGCTCCCACTGTATATCATTGAAACAATGTTGATGACTGATGGTCATGGCATATTTTCACAGTCGTGTGCGGCGGCTAATGTAACAGTAAAATATTAAAAATAAACTGCGCGCGCGTAGCGCGCGTCTGTGATGTCTAGTATAAAATAAAATACATTTGTGAACTTTATTATCAAATTTCTACCTTATCAGCAATGTACTGTTTGAAATATTCAGCAAGTCCTGTATTCAGCCATATATCAGTCCACCAGGAAGGACTAACAACATTGCCGAGCCATTGATGGCTCGATTGATGTATGATATTGGCTGCTGCAGTTGTATACAATGCATCGATTGGACTATCTTCATTGCACAGTACTCCGACTTCCCTATAAATAATAATCATAATATATGTAGGGGAATGAGGGTAGCGCCGGGCAGTGGGTAGCCCCGGACATTATTGAAATTCAAGTATACCGCGTATCTATGGCCATTGTTTAAACATTCTGCATATGTCGAGATACGCAGGAGGGCATATTAGAATGTTTAAACAATGGCCATAGATACGCGGTATACTTGAATTTCAATAATGTCCGGGGCTACCCACTGCCCGAGGTTACCCCCCGCAGAATGTACGTAGAAATATTATTTTATTAAGTATTTTAGAGTAATGAGACATTGTTCTAACACACACATACATATTATTTGTTGAAATAAATGCTTTACTTTTTAAAAATTAAGAATAGTTAAAAATAGTATAAAACATTATCAAAGCGAAGACCGAGAACCCAGAAAGCATGTCTAAAAGATGTCTTTTAGACATGTGCTGTCTGAAAATATTTCTATAGATACAGTATTTTATATAACGACGTAATATTGCAAAATAATAATAATAATGTTTATTGCAAGATACTGTATTTTTTAAATATTCCTAATTGTATAAAATTAATGTAATACGATTTTATATATACAAATAGATTTTTAGTTTGTCCAAAGCGTTTGCGTGATGTCATATCATCGAGATATTTAATGTGTTGCAATGCTTCATCCTTTTGTGTATGTGTTATGATGTTCCAACGTATGTATCATGACATTACCTGTAGGTGATAAGCCCCCAACTTTCTATGGCAATAGCAGATCTGTTAGGAAGAGCAACGTAATCGATTTTGGGCAACCGAACGGAACTGTTGGTGTATTGTTTCAATTCGATCGCCGCTTTCTGGGCGACTTCGTGGATGAAACTTGTCGAGGAAATTACGTTGCATCTGCTCCAGACGTTGATGGTGCCATCGGAATTACTTATTTTATGAAGATCGGAGATCAGGAAGCTGACTAGGTACGTTGATATAACGGGCGATTCTTCAAAATGTGTCCATATCTTTTCGTCACTCTCATCGATTTCTGACTCTTCGGAAATCGGCATGTTTGAGATGGCCGTGCAATTGCGATGGTGTTTGACGGCAATCTTAAAAGAGGCCTTTAATGCCGGCTCGTCCCAACAAGGAAAAGCAGCGCGCGCATAAGTCGGCATAAAATTTGTCCCGGCGAACCATCTGTGGAAATTTCAGTTTTTATTATATCTCATTAAAGACACTAAATTATTTTTGTGCGTTTATTTTTCATGTTACTATTATTTATTTTTTATTATTTTCCATATCGCACACCGAGAAGAATACTGTCACAAAAATTCACAATTTTCAGGAGAAAGGAAAAACAAAAATTTAATTCAATTTTTTTGAATTGTGAGATAACCAACGCAATCAGAATTATAATATTTTGTTATAATAACATTTATACTGTTTCTTGAAGAAATCTGATATAATTCTAAAAAAAATTCTCACTCAGGATTTTCAGCACTCCTCGAGTAAAGTAGTATTTTGAGGTGTGTCATAGTTCTTGCAGCAATACTAAACTTGTGCTTTAAAAGTAAAAAAAATATGAAATAAATTTCACTTTGGAAGAGACAATTAATGTACTATAAAATAAGTATAAACGTAACAAAATAACGAAGTATTAATAAACTAAAACAACGTTTGGAAAAAAAAATAATTATTAAAGATTGTTAATTATTAGTAAATTAATTAAATTATTAAAAAAAAGACTCATAAAAAGTACGATAAGATATTGGAATATAATTGTTTTTGAGAGAAGTTCTTGAATATCTGATTTTTTTATTTGTTTCCTATAAATAATTTTTTGAAGTATGCTGATTGTAGTTCTAAATAAGCAGCGGCAGATTTTGGTGTTCTATTATTTATTAGTTCTTTTTTGTAATTTTGCTGAGAGAAAGATGCTTTAAATGAGATAGTCTAAGGACTATTTTTGCTAATTTTGTAATTTTAATGTCTGTCATTATTGCAATTTTATTCTCAGTTGTTTTTGAAAACCTGTTGCCAAGTGAATTTGCTGGAAAAAATGTACTTATCTTGTAGTAGAAGACTGTCACAAATCAAGATAATATTTTCAAGTTGTGACGTTATTCCAGTAGAAATACTGCGACACTCACTTACTTATTCACTTATGACCCTATTTATCCAATGACCGCAACTCAATGGGTTTAAAAAGAATAACTTCTGAGACACTTCTGCTTCCATGCGGTAAATTTTGCATAAAGACTTGTAACAGTATATGTTATGGCACGTATAGGGAACACCTTAGGCATACTTTTTATGTGTTTAACTCAAAATCGAATTTCTTTGAGTTGTAGTGATAGTATTCTTCTCGGGGTACGATATATAAATTTAGAAATTGTAATATAAAGAATAATTTTTTTTGTACTTACACTGTATCTCCCGCGTCATTGATGTAAGAACTGCGATAGAATCCATATGATTTGTCGTTTAGTATACCGGCAAATTTCAGATATAAAGTATAATGTCCAGCAGGTAATTCCTTGTCAAAACCAAGAGTCAATAAATCGGTTAGGTTGTTACTGTTGTATGAGGTAGGAAAGTAAAGGTCAGTGTTGGCTTTCAGAAAAGTTGCGTTTTCGTCTATTATCAGTTTTTTCATATGCAGCGTGAGAGTTCTCGTCTGGCTCAGGATCTCGATGTTAACATGTACTTCGCCATCAAATGCAAAGTTGTCCGGAGTGAGGTGCGGGTTCAATTTAAGATCGTAGGATAGCGGTTTTGTGTGGTTAGGTAGCCGATAATTTATTTTTTTATCGTTCGAATTTGAATCTTGAATGGCAGCGGCGTCTGCCGCGATGAGCGCAAAGGCGCAAATGCAAATGATTTTGTACGTTAGCATTCTGGAAAAATAAAATAATTATTTTAAGGTTATCATACACATCATCGAGAGGTTTTCTCTACTGATAACCTACACGTGAAAGAAGTAGCTCTTTTGCGTATATTGTTGTTGTAAATTCACTTTAATAAATGAAAATTGCTTTTTAGTGTATCTATTATCCGTTCTCAGATTATATCAATCCATAACTTAAATTTACGCAAATAATTTTAGTTTTTTATCTAAAATAATGCACTATAATTTGATAAAATAAAAAATATATATTTGTTATATAATAATATAGTAAATACTAATCTGTTCTAAATTATTTTACGTTACATACTTTTTCAAAATATAGTAATGGTAGATATAATGGTCTATTTTAATTTAATGTTCAATACCTTAATAGAATTTACGCACGTGCGTACCTTATATTCACGGAAACGCAGTTTTGCGTTATCAGAGAAGCGTAGACGTAATACCGCAAAGTATAACAAATGTATAATGTGAAAATGTGTCTCCGCGTCAAACCAGCTAACGTGACCGTAATATGTTAATTAAGTGGATCAGGCATATTAAGCAATAACGCCGGGTATCACGTTCAAAGCTGAATTTAGCTTTACATAACTTCCACAAAAGAATAATAACTGCTTTACGGAACGTAAACGATATTGGTTAAATGTCTAATTCATTAGCATAATGAGTCAGCAAGTCACAAGTTAATTAAGGTGCGATTTATATACCTAGCTTGTGAACATCAAAAGTATACTGATTCTAAGTCGTCGAATTCTTTTTACAAATAATTACAAAAAATATTAAATTATTAGTTATGCAACGCTATCTGTATATAAGAATGCAAAAGAATATAAAAGAAATAACAGTACCGTTATCAGAAAACATAGTTAAAATTAGTTTAAGAATTCAAAATTCAGGTCTCTTGAAAAAGATAATAAAAATGTTTGTACACAAAATAGCAAAACGCTTTCTAGTTTTATAGTAGCATTTATTATTTTTGTATACAGATAATCTAATTGCATCAATGGATATTTTTTGTTATCTTTTTTTTACGTTTTCTTTTTTGCGTACTTACTTGTTAAGCGTTGCAAGCTCTTATGGCGACAGTAACGATTCTACTAGTCGAGACAAGTGCTACTTTCCATTTATATAAGCCTCTTTGCTACGATTTCCAGAAGCGTTTGACGTTAATAAAGTGTGATCTTTTCGAGGAAGCAAAGCAAGGCAAGTAATTTTACCAAGTATAAGAGTAATGATACGACTCATTTATATGCGCTTCGACATTTGCATTATTAATACAGTTCTTTACAGTTATTTAGATGGTTACATCAAATCGATTTAATTATGGGGAGAAAGGGGATTTTCTCCCTGTAATTAAATCGACTTCAACGGGAACTGTGTTATAAGTTTGACAAATCTAGTTGGCGCTCAGTTTAACTAATGTTGGAAAAGATATGTGTAATACACAAAAAATATATATTATATTGGCTACCAAGATTCAGCGCGGATCGTATTTGGCGATTTAGTTTAATTATTTGATTACATATTATAACGATCGTATATAATATTCTCGTGTTACCAATTAAATAATTGATAGAATAAAGTTATAAAATTAATTAAAAATGTAAAAGTATATATATTAATACAACTTTTTATATTTAATATCTTAAATATATTTATATACTAGAAATATAATAATGTACAAAAAAAGTCAATCTGACAATAAGGTATAAAACTAAGATCGGAGAAAACACTAAGAATGTCTTAGAATGTTATTTTCTTACAGCTTTCTTTTATTTTTCACACATGTATGAAAAGTGTTTGCGTGGATTCCGCCCCCTGCAGGGGGCCCGAGGCCCGAAGTAGCAAGCACACGTCATTTTGACGTTCAAACTGGTCATTTTTGGTCATGTGTCGTCAAAATGATCGATTTTTTTACATTGACCTTATATTGACGTCATAATGTGACGTCATTGCAATGTCACATTTCAGTCATAAAGTGACGATTATCTTATTACCCAGGTAACAAGCTCACATCATTTTGACGTCATTTTAAATTGGTTCTTCACTGACTACTCTTGACGTCATGAGTTGACGCCTTTATGACTTGAAAATTTCGGTTTAATGTTATAAAATCTTGACGTCATGAAATGTATCGTATTTTGACGTCATGGAATCACGTCTTTTTCTTATTGTTAACATAATGATGTATTTAAGGCTGCGGTCAACTTGACGCTACAAATGCCTCGAAGCATTCCTCTTCTCCTTTCTTTCAACGAAGAAAGAAGGAGAAGAAGAACGCTTCAAAGTATTTGTAGCGTCAAGTTGACCGTTGCCTAAGACGCAAATGTGGTAAAAAATGGGCAGTCACATGTGTAATATATGGTATTATTTTATTAAAACGTTATTATACTTACATCTATATATATAAATATATAATAATATTTTCACTCATACATAATATTTTTATGTATTTTAATCGAATATAACAAATGTTTAATTGTAATAAATATTTATAATATAAAGGTTTAAATATATCTAAGCAGAACCTTTGAGACTTTGATACAATAAGCACCATCAGACTTTGACATAATTAAAAAATACTTATACTTTTACAAATTTAAATAAAATGTATCTTTGACAACTTAACTAACAAAATACTTATTGTATTATCATAGATTTAAAGAGAATGTATTTAATCTTTGGCAATTTAAATAAAATCCTTATCATACTTTTATATATTTAAATAAAATATATCAATCAAAACTATGTATGATTGGTAAACATACGTAACTCAATTCTCAATTCTCAATTCTCAATTCTCAATTCTCAATTCTCAATTCTCAATTCTCAATTCTTAATTATAAATATTTATTATTTATTTTAGAAATCAGTATCCGTTATTCAAACCCGGTTTTTTATTCCCTCTATTCTTTTGTATGTGCTGGTTTTATTTATTTAATTTAATTTTTCCAGCGGTAAACTTATGATTATTTCGGTTAACATTTTCATAAACATTAGATGTGCAAGTCGGGAGTAAAAATTGGTTTTGATTACCAGGTATCGTTTTAATATCTTTAACAATTTAAATATTTTTATTTTATTTCTTTGACCAACACTATTGTTACACCAAATTAGTTGTTGTTCAGATTACTTGATAAGAACCCAAACGAATCGTAAAGTCGTTTGTCAGTACACTCGTTAGTCAATTGTTGTCGAAAATAATAAACTTTTTCTGGTTAATCAATAATGGCGGAACAAACAATTATTTCTGTAAATTAATGAAATATTGATACATTTCTGTAAGAGTTGTACTTACTTGTTTTATAAAAAAATATAAAAAATACGTATATACGATTATTATTCTCATATAATTATATACTCTTCTTATGTGTTAATTGCATGTATATCTGTTCATAATATCTTTATATTAATAATGCACATAATGTTTTACAATAAATAATAATTAATAGATAATAACTGTTTTTAATTATTGACCGATTTGTTTTAACAATATAGATGCATGTATTATAGGTATTTAAATCTAATTATTTTGCTTATTCCACACAAATTTTATTTACATAATATTATTAGTGAAAATTATAACAATTTCTGTTGACTCGATTCTTCATATTATGGTGAAATCTTCACACTGTAAATTGATGGAAGTTATCGATGAAGAGATATTGAATTCATTGTAATGTAATATTCGTAAGTGGGTTTGAACTTTTATATTCTAACCACAAACGAATTTTGTTTACTATTGTCTCCGTCAACTCCATATTTTGCTCTTGGAATTTTACAATTTGTGGTACTTCCATTCCAAGCTTATCTAAAAGTGCTCGTAACTGAAAACGAGTATTTAGTATATTATTTTAGTATATAAAACATTATTCTATATATACAATTCTGTACAAGCTGTAAAAAATGTATTATATTATTTTTTAAGTATATACATTTTGTTAAATAAAAATTTGTTTATATTATTAAGTATATATTATTATGTAATATATTTCTTCGTCTATCTGCAAAGTCTATACCTTTTGTACTTGCTTCCTAGATACAACATTCCAACTAATATCGTATAACAAGTCCATAGGATCGTCAACTCTGCAATAAGAAATTCTGTGCGTTAGCTACATAATTCTGTGAAAAAATGTGCGCAGTTATCGAGATTAGATACAAGATTATTACCTAGTTATGAGTATATCCCAATGATTCACAACAAAATCCAACACCACATCAATATTTGGAAAATCTCCATTTAATACCGAGTCGATAACACGATGAATATCATTCTTCGCGAATGGTGAATCTTCTGATATAGTCATATTTAGAAATTTCTCGATAATAGTCCGGTTTTTAGAACGTCCAAGACAGTATAATGTAGGTTCAGACATGTTCGTGTACATATACAGCAGTTTGTTCCAAATAGTTTCATTCGCTTGTTTTATGCCATTACAGAATGTCAATCTTTTCTCTTGAAATGAAGTTCTAAAGCAGAATTTTCAGGAATATTGTATACAAAAAAAAGTACTTTCAATATCATTTACTCTTTTAGTAGATATATATTTAGTTTTAAGATAAGATAGAGATAATTTCCGCATAACGATTTATTTTAATGTATATGTATTACTCATTTTCCTCTCTTTCTCTCCATATAGAATATTTTATATTTTATATTTACTTGTTTGTGAACACAGTTGGATTTTCCAAATAATCAATTAATTGATTATAGGTATTATGTAGGCATGCAGGATGATCGAAGGCGCATGCATTTTCAAAAATAGAATTTCTTGCCAATTTTGTAAAATAATCTTCATTCGGGTGAAACTGCATTACAGTTTCTACTATATTATTCATCAAGTCCAAGACATACGGCTATAATTACATAAATTCGATTAATTTTGCAATATATGTGTAATATAGAGCATTTTAAAATTTGAAATGGCTGTAACGAAAATTTGATTTTTTTTTATTTTCTATGTAATATGTTTTCTGAAACATTTTTTCTGTGATTTTTGCATCATAAAGATTTTATGATGTGTAAAATCATAATTTACCTTAAGCAATTTACCTCCACCATTGTAAATAAAATATTTAGTTGCATCTCCTAAAATTTTAAACAACGAGTTCCATACTACGTAATTCGTTTCACGTTTCAAATATTTTGTGACGTCCATGAAAATTCTGGGATCTAATTTGTCAGTGAACATAAGGTAAATCGCGTCGTTAATTATTTGTGCGCGATTCAGTACATGAATTTTTGTGTAATTCTCAGAATCCAGATAATCGGCAATTTTCAACCAATTTGTTGTGTCATAATTTACACGATAGAAACCTGCAATTATTAATAGGTATAATTTCAATTTAAATATATAATGTTATCAAATATTGTTTAAATCAATATCTATGTGTGCTTAGATTCTTTATTTCTGCAAACGTACTTATAAAAGTGATAACAGATAAATTTATAAAGATTTATATAAAGACAAATACTATACATCTATATAAATCTTACCA